TTTTAAAAAAATCAGAGCAGCATTGCACTGCTCTGATTTCTTCATTGGTTTCTCATTCACAAGATACCTTTTCTAATCATATAGTTTTAGAGCAGTCATTACTTTCACCTTAGAGTTCAAGAATTCTCAAACAATAAAGTCTTAAAACTGCATTGGTAACCTTTACCTTGGCAACCTCTATAAATGAGATGACAATAAAAATGGCACCTTATGCACAGATACCTTGTAATCCAACAATCCAATACTGTACTTGGTATTAAAAATAATTGCCTTATTTTTTATTCTCCTTACTATGAATCATAGGTTTGTTAAAATGCATTTGCACCCCTTTGCATTTATAGTGTGAACAGATGTTTGTTCTTTCAATTTCTAATAGAATAATATTTTCATAAAGATTGTATTGAATTGAATTTTATTATTTGTATGCNACGGGAAACATTTTACACGATCCGGAAAACCCGCGGGTTATATGCGTGTGCGGGTTATTTGCGTGGGCGGGTTATATGGGTGAAAATACGGTAAACAACATGCTGCATTTTTTCTTTCAATTAACTCCTGTTTCCTTTATACAAAATTGCATCTATGTAGGATAAAATTTAAATATGAAAACCTGATAAACCCAATTAATACAAGGCTGAATTTTAGGGTTTTGCATGTTCCAGAAGTTACCATTGAAATTCCTTTGAAAATTTCTGGGTAACACTGATGGTGATCCCATTGCATGGCTTGAAGTTTGCATTTGTGATAAGTATAGCCCAAGTATTCAAATGTTCAAATACATTTTTTGCTATTAGTTTCCTCCTGATTTGATTAGAAAGGGTTGAACAAAGCTGCAAATTAATGCCACCTCAAGGGTTCAATAGCATAGGTCTCTTTTTATGCTAGACACTTGAGAGGTTTGGAATGATTGATCTCCATTAGGCTTGTCAATTAAGGGAATTGGCACAGGAAGGGGGGATTGGGTAGGTATGTGGGCCTTAGAATTCAATCCCTTGATGTTACATAAGAACAATATCATGCTTAGAAAAGTACAGTAAAGAAGAATGGGGCTTACTTTGGTTGTTTTAATGATCATAACTTATGATTTCTATCAAAGATATTAGGGAAGAGCTAGTTAGATAGCTATATATTTATGTACAAGCTTACTGCCCAAGAACACTGCTTATTGGAGAAACAGAACATTTGGTTCTTATCATTAGGATTTGGTAAAAAATTGTTCAAGCAGTAATGTAGGATGGATTATTTAGAGGGAGCTCTTTACCAGCCTGTTACAAACAAACCAGATCTGTTATGATAGGGGAATGCTTTTTGTATTGTTTTATGAGTTGAGTTAATGTTGTAATAGTTCATACTATTTAAATTTTGTTTTATAAATGAAAATGAAGTGAATAAATATTATAAATATAACAATTATTTTTAGGCATATTGTTAAATTATAGAAAAAAGCTACTCTAGAGATATATGGAATTCATGTATATTTGTTTCATGTATATATTCGTAGAGCTTAAGTTTAACCTTTGTTAGGTTAGGGAGTTTTCTTCATCCACTTAATTTAAATATGAAATAATTAAAATATAGAGCCATTATAGAATATTTCAGTTAAAAGCAGCATATGTGTAGCTGAAAATAACCAGTGAAAACTATCACTCTGATATTGTATGTATGGAAACTGTGAATGTAATAGACAACCATTAATTTCCAATTTTCTGTTATATCACAGACAGAGAACTTTTAATTCTCCAGTTTTATTGCATGTCATCAACCCCAAGGATACGGCTGTAGTTGAGCAGTATATCAGAAATTAAAGGTCCCATGTCAATGCAGTGTATGTTATGTATAATATATATAAAACCTCAATTCTTAAATAAACTGGGTTTATTGATTGATGTTTTGGAATGGATGAAAATGAATTTAAGAGTGTCATGATTGTTCTACTCCAAAGGAATAGTTGTAAGTACACAAACTTCAGTGTAACATTAACATAACACCTAGTTAACATTACTGTATTCTTTTGATAAGCAGTTGGAGCTGTTGTCATATGAAAGTATTTTAATGGAAATAAATGAAGGAAACCTTTCATTACAACTGTACTAAAATTGGGCTACCGAATTTTCTTTCTAACAGTTATGTTCCTCATTGCAACTTTCTATATTCTTTTTAGTGAAAGGTATAGGACTCGGTATCAAACCAGTATTACCCTAAACATGACATGGAACAATAAATAAGTAACCATTGGAATAGATTTCTGTTCTGGGATCAAAATTAAACATGTCAAAAAAAATGAACAAGGATATTCTATCAATATTGGTAATACAGAAGTGGTCTAATTCAGGAAATCAATAATGTTCAGCTCCATAGAAAGGAATCTTGCAAGGTTCTCTTACATGAAAGTGTAGACACGTGAAGTTTTTCTTGTATAGAAGCAGCACTGAACTGGATCCCATTTTAGTTCTAGTAATCCATTGAAATCAGCAATCCACCTTAGTTATAACCAGAGGCATCATTCAAATTAGGCAACAGCCACTCCTGATCTCAACAGCTTTTTCTTTTTAGCTCTTCCGCCTTTGCTTGGCAGAGGTCCTGAATGTTACCACGTAAGGAACCGGATTAGCCTAATTCCTAATTCTAATGGGTTATTATCAATAGTAGCCATGACTATAGACAAGGCAGCAAGCAGGGTTATAAACAGACCAAAATATACCTACTGTTTGGAATCAAGTTCTTCATTTAACCTGGCCTACAAGAGCTGGACTGGCAAGACACATTCCTAAGCACAACTTGAACTCATTGATTAAATTAAATTAGCTTGGTTAAATTTGAATCAAAGCCACTTTATATTCTTCCCAAACCACTACAAACCCCTGTATTATTGTTGCATGGTATTCTTTTTTCAACTTTATAGCAAAACATCTTGCACTGAATTGTTAAGGAACTACTATTGCCACTTGCTCCAAGCTGGCATCTTTTCCAGTATTACATTATTTCCTATGGTTACAAATAACAGGGCCTTTGGAATTGGAATGATGGGAACCACATAAATTAATGCAGAAAGATAAAGAAATCTGAGCTATTGACTATAATGCTATTCAGTATGATATAAAGCTTACAGATAGATAAAACCATTTTTCTTGCTAATTCAAAGCTAATATTTTAAGACATTAGCCTGCCATCTGGTGGTAGACAGATTAATCCATCAGTTATAAATTGTCATATTTACAGATAATACCCAAAAAAAGATAACCCATCTTCTTGTCTTGGGTAGGCTTTCAATTGCCAATCTTGTACTGTAAGATATTCTTAGAATAACCCCATTCTGAATTTTCAGTAGATAGTTTGGAATAAGAACCTGGAAACTAAGGGTTATTTGCAAACATAGGAATATATTGTAAGTTACACATCCCAAACTAGTGACAATAAAATCATCATCTCTAATTGTCTATCTAGATTCTCAGTCATCCAAGTCATGGTTGTCCCAAAGGTGCTTTTGTAAAAGGCAACTGGACTTTCTTTGTTCTGTTTCTCATCCAAGAAGCTTTTTCAATTCAAGTCAGAACTGAAGAAGCTCCTTGGAAGACAAGTGTAATGTCTTCAAGCAAAACAAAGGAAATCCAGTTGCCTTTTGAAAAAGCACCTTTGGGACGATAATCTTTAATTACTTCTTACCCTCAATCTATTGCTCTAGGTTTCTTTTCCTGGCACCACACATAGCTGCGGTGAGATAAGAAAGTAATATGATATAGTTAGCCTTTAAAGTCAGTAGCAACCAACAAAACCAAAGCATGAATTGCATTCGTTTGAAGAAAGGATGACTGTCATATGATGGCACTTTTTAAAAATAAGCTATGTTACACAGATTACTTGTAACCAATCAACAAAAGCAGAAGAGGATGCTATTTTGCACTGTAATGCTTGTTTAGATGTTAGAAATGAGATTCCTTTTTTTTCCTGGCAAACTTAGTTAAATCCTACTGGCACCCCTGTTTCATTAATGGGTGGGACTAAAGACAAAATGGATGCAGTTCTTACATCTGTCCAAAACTAACAATGACAATATTGTTCCAGGCATACTGCTAACAACTTCTTATACCAGTTTCAGTCTAGGAAAGGGGATTAAATAGATGACAATAATCAGAAGCAGGAGGCATTTCCTGAATGGGGAATGGCTGAGAGAAATGAGATATGGTCAGAGTAATCCAGAGGAAGAGACCTAGAGGTGAAGTGGGTAAAATGCAGTATTGCAGGCAAACTCTGCCCACAACCTGGAGTTCAATCCTGACAGGGCTCAAGGTTGACTCAGCTTTCCACCCTTCTGAGCTTGTTAAAACGAGGGCCCAGATTGTTGGGGGCAATATGCAAATAATGTGTCTGCACTGTAAATTATAAAGAGAGCTATAAAGCATTCTGATAGGACATATATGTCTAAATGCTATTGTTGCTAGAGGAATTTTCTTTAGTTTAAATCTGAATAGGTTGAGAACAATATGGCAAATGGAGCCCTGGTGGCACAGTGGTTGATTAGAACAGAGTATTGCAAGCTAACTCTGCTGATTGCCAAGAGTTCGATCCTGACCGACTCAAAGTTGACTCAGCCTTCCATTCTTCTGAGATCATTAAAATGATAACCCAGATTGCTGAGGGCAATATGCTTACTCTGTAAACCACTTAGAGGGCTGTAAAGCACTATGAAGTAGTATATGTCTAAGTGCTATTGTTATTGCTAAGTGCTTACCTGAGCCAGAAAGCATGCCTCAGCTTGTATATCTCTTTTCTGATTCTTCCCTTGGTGCTGACTTTATCTCTTGTTTTAGATTATATTGTACATTTCTCAAAAGATGAAGTTTTCATTTTGTTTAAAAAAAAAGTCTATTTTTTTCAATCAGAGTGATTGTTAATAATCTCAGAGCAACAAAAACTGAAGTACTATATGCATAACACAACATTGATGTCATTATTTCTTTTATTTTTCATATAAATTAACATTCTAAAAAAAATTGGAATAGAAACACTAAATACAATATTGCACATAGCGATCTTTGTTAAGTGTAGCATTATTCAGTTTAGAATGGCAATATACACACAGTAGATACTGAAGGGAACAGGAAATCTACAAAACAGAAACATGCTTCAATGTTTTTAAATGCATTTAAATGGAAAAAAATGCAGAAACAGCAAAAGACTATAAATTACATAAATACAAACATGAGTTTTAATCAGTGCTATTAAAATATGTTTTACTTCTTTAATTGCTTTTGATAGATCTTTTTGTAACAATCTTCTCTTTTCCCTTTCCCAAAGAAATAATTTTATTCCTGATGCTATTGGATCATATAATACAGTTTTGGGGCTATCCTGAAAGATGATAAGAGTTTCAAGCTGATTATGTAACAGGAAATCATTTCCCAGTGGAGGAAAAATATATTTTTTTAGTGATTGGTATTTTAAAAATTCAATTCCTGAGGTCATATTTTATGCAGCCCTTATGATTCCTGGAATCATATGTTAATCTCTGGCCAACCAGGTATCATATAGTGGGTTACATGGAGAAAAATAAATATTTCAAAACTTAGAAATTGCATCACTCTAGCACCTTCTATGCTAAGAGGCTTGAGATATATACATCGTTTCCCTACTTTTGGCTTTTTTAAAATCTTTTTAAAAATTGCTCTTAGAAAGTGTGGAGAAAATGTGGTAAACTAGATCTGCCCAATCATTAAATTGTTTCAGCAGTTGGGACAGAAGTATTGCAAAACAATTGCATCTGCTGTACTTTTTGTAATACAAGTACTTAATAAAATGTGAGATCAAACAGAAGGAATAATCTTTGTTTTATCACCAGAAAAACCAAGGTTCTTAATAATCCTTCATAATTTAGAATGAGAAAAGGGAAAGATCTTAAGTTCTTTTATTTTTTTTAACTCAAGAGTTTGATAGAAAGTCTACCACAAATTTCCTGTTAATCTGCAAACAGTTTCTTCAATGAATATAATATTGAAATACCCGAGATTGTTTGGTATCTACCAAGTGAATCCTGTGCTTAACTGTGATTGGGTTTTCCCCTTTTTGTTTTCATTCCATTCATCAGTATCAGCAAATCATGATCAACTTTGTCAATTATAACAATAGCAGGGCTGAATGTCATATTTATGACATATTTTGTCAGGAGGCAATGAAATAACTTGGAGATCATGGCTTAGAGTGTAAAAGAAATACTTTTACCAATTCAGAGTACACTTACAAGGTCAATAGGAAATAGATACAAACAGTTTTGAGAAGTAATATTCTCCCTAATCTAAATGCAATGTTGTAATGTATTTGCTTTGGGGAAAAAATCCTGCAGGAATGGAACATCTATGTGAAGTTAGATGTTTATAAAGTTTTCAGTATGTTTAGGACATACTGAAATACTGCTGCTTACACAGACTACTTTAGTCTTTATTAGTATTTTACCGTATAAATTGCAAAACAATGTTTGGATGAAAAGAATGTAGTATATGGGGTGCCTGTAAGAGAAAGACATCAAATGGCTTCCATTAATGGGTATCAATCGTGCACATCTGTTTATCAGTGAATTTTCATAGTAGTGAGCATAAACAGGAAACAAAATGCAAGAAACTCAAGAAAACAAATGGGCTGAATGGTAATATTTCCTTTCCCCTACATCCCCAAGGCATGATCAACTTATTGAGTCTGGATACAAAGACATAAGACTTTCTTCTTTCATATTTTCATACTTATCTTTGCTTTCTGAAATGAAGGACACAGAACAGAGTGAGCAAGAAGAAATTCAGTATTTCATAGCATATTCATAAATACTGAGAAATCTGTTATCACATCTAAAGGGTACCCCATTATTTTCACAGTCCTGCATCTGTTCAGTAACTTTGATACTGTACAGTATTACTCTGTTTCCTGGAAAAAAAAGTGCTACCTTCTTCTATGTATTCTATGTATGCATAAAACACAGTTGAAACATTTATCTCCCAATGGAAAACATTAAAAAGCCCTGCATATCAAAGTGGTTATGACCCACAGCCTTAGTGAATGTGTGTCTGACAATGGATAGTTTAAAAAAGTAGTTGCCAGGGAAATGTCACAGAATAAGACATTTGCTGTTACGAGCTCCAAACAAGACAAAGAACAATGGGGAACAATTTTTCTATAACTCAAAGATCAAAATTCAATTAAATCAGACTATTTAGATATGAAGCTGAGTTTTCCCCAAGACATAATCTCCAGATGCTTAAAACAAACCATTTATCTTGCACAACAGATCATTTAGAGCTATTTGGTGCTTTGTCTACTGCTGTCACCATCACTAGTACCTAAATCTAGTGAGCTGCTTAGATTTATTTTAAGACCTTGCATTCATTTTCCACATCTTGGCTTAATATTTAACATTTTTTATAGATAGTAAGAATAATTATACTTACAATTCCAGAATCATGCTTTTGTTTTATATTGTAAAGTGATTTTCCTTTTTTCTGTCTACATACTTCTTCAGCCTCTTTAAGTCTGCAATACATAATGTTAATTCATCAAGTCAATAATCCATGCAAAATACAAGACATTGCACAATATGTAATTTCTATAGTTTAAATAATTAACACTGTTATAATTGCCTAAGTATATCTTCATATGGAAGTTGGTTCAAAAAGAATCTAGAATGCTCCCAAATGTACTTTAGACTCTTAGAAAATTGGAGAGCAAAAATGAAGTGTTCTACTGATATCCTGCTGAACTTTATTAGATTTATATCCTGCTTTCTTCCAGAAATGTAAACTGTCCCAAAGCAGTCCCTTCTCCAATTTCTCCTACAACCACCACCACATGAATAAGAAGAGACAGTGAGTGACCTTAAGTCATTGTCACCATGCTTGAAGGTGGACTTTAAGTTGTGTTTTCCTAGTCCTAAATCCAAGGTATTTGCAGTTATATCACAACTACAAATAGTCTTCCACTGTACTGTATGAGTGTGTTTCTATGTCTTTATAAAGACTCCCTGACTATGTACCGATCCTTAAATCATTTTGGTTTTGAGGTAGAAAAACAAATATATAATGCTTATGCTACTTATTTCACATTTCTCTACTTGTTCTTTTTTCCTTGTTCCTATTACATTTTCAAGCCGAACATATCTAGAAGAATGAACTTGTATAGTATTTGACAAATAAACCAAGAACTCAAACATTTTTTGAAAGAGCCTCAACGGCATCTTATGCCACCCATTGAGGCGCAAACTCCCAACTCTTGAGTGAAACATTTTATTATCACAAACTCTCAGAATCTGAGAGCTAATGTTTTCATGAAAGGGAGGGTCTTTGGTCTGGCAAGACCTTACCATTCTTCTCATACAGTGATTTTGACTTATACGCTCATTCCGATATGCAGGCAATTTGTTAGCAGTTGTAGGGAAAGAACAGAGCATTTCAGGAGACAGTGTGGCTACACGCTAGCGTTTCTGGAAGCTGTCTGAGGCTTGTTTAGATGGAAAAATCTACAGTCCAATCCAACACATACACAAAGAAACTACTAAAACTGCAACAAGAAAAGTTATTTCTCTGATTTTTGTTCCGAGCAGATGGCGATGGTGAACTTGGCTATCTGAATAAAAGCATTTATTTGCAAGAGTATTTTCCCTCAGACTAAAATGTTGACAGAGTCCAAAGCCACAAACAATAAAATTAATGAAAATAATCATTGTAGGCTGTGTTGTGAGAGATAACTTAGATGATGGTTTCCCAGGACCAAACAAGATGCCTTTGGCATGGATGCAAACACAACTTCAATAAACTGTGCATATTTTGATTGTGTTTGCTTTTACCGCAGCACAACCCAGTAGTTAAACCACATTCCTGTTTTTTAAACCCTAATCTATATTGGCTGCAGCAATGGCTGAGGAAAACAGCCAGGGACATAAAAGCTTGCAGAAGATGCAAGCTTTAGGAGACCTAGTTGATGAATCCTCTTAGCCATAGCAACAACATGTTTGCTCATCTGAAGCCAAGGATGGCTGATCTGAAAAGGCTAACAGAGGCATAACAGAGTCTTGCCTGGGGCCTTCAGGACTGTATAGAGATATCCCACTCCCAAGATGGCAATACTTCTGTTTTTATGGAACATGACAGTCTTGGGAAAGAATCTGTCACACACAGGAAGAAGGAAATGATCCTTAGAAATAACATTAGGCAGGGTCTAAATGTAATTTAACCTTCTAATTTTTTGAAGGGTAGCAATAGGTTGTTTGGCGATGATCTCAGAAAGGCTGTGGCCACTTTATTACTAATGGTAAACTGATATGAAATAATCACTAATTTGAAGTTTTTAAAATCACAAGTAGTGCAATCAATATTTCAATATTGTTTTCTTTTATGTGTGACATACAAACTATGGAATGTAAGCATAAACTATAACTGATTAAGAAGAATGCAATAATAATTGTCCTGCTGATGCTAAATTCAGAATGCTAAATAAAACAAAGTAAAGTCCAGAATTTCCAAGATGATTTCCTTGGAAATGCTAGGTATTAGTCCAAGTGGAAATTTTAATAGTTCTCTTTTGAGGACAAAATGCCTAGAGTTAGTATTTAGGCTGGCTAAGCATTAAGGGAAATGTTTTGGGACAATCCAATTATGCAGAAGCAGGGGAAGCATCTCTTAATCCAAAATAAAGCCAGATCATTGATACTTAATATAAATAACATAGAGAACATTAAATTGACCCATGAAGAAAAGCCAAGAGGTGATTCAAAATTTCATTTGAATGAAAATATTTCTGGTCAAATTTGGGATAAGGAATGAATATGCACTTGGAAATGTTCACTAGTCCAACAGTCTAAAGATTTAATTGTTTATGACACCTACACAACAGAGACAAACAGAGCTCATATAATTTCTCCTTTAATGTTATTAATGTTAGGCATATCTTCTTCAAGATGAACAGCTAGACATGATTATTGCAAAATAAAAACATAAAAATTACAGAAAACTATTAGAATCAAGGGGATCCCCAAATAAGCTGTATATGATCTGGGTATAAATCAAAGACACCTACTGGATAGAGGGAAGGAAGCTGTTCTGTCTATCAAAGAGAGGTGTGTGTTAAACTGCACTGGCTACCCATTGGTCTCCGGACCCGCTTCAAGGTGCTGGTCGTCACCTATAAAGCCCTACATGGCATCGGACCTGGGTACCTGAGAGACCGCCTCCTGCCGATCAGCCCCCATAGACAGATTAGATCTCACAGGTTAGGTCTCCTCCGGATTCCATCGGCCAGCCAATGTCAGCTGGCGACTCCCCGGGGGAG